TAAGTATGAAAAATGGGTTTTCGAAATAATCATTTTCTCAAGATAATTTTTGGCGGCTTTTATTCCTCACACATCAAATAAGAAAACTTGATTTTATGGGATTTTAGTATGAAGTATATATTGACTTAATGAGCCATCATTTTTAGCCTAAATCGTATTTGGCACTAAAACCGATTTTTCATATTTTGATTTGGTGGGAATTTGATTTTCTAGTATTTTTATTTGAATCCAAATGGGGGGTACTTCTTTATTTACATTGTAAACTTAAGTAAATGGAGTAATATTAAAATAAATAAAAGTAAAATGACAAAGACATTTACTTAAATGTTGAAAATGGAAATAAGGTAATCTGTAAAGCGCCACTGACTAGCTAATATTGAAAATAAGTTAAATATATAAGTTTTATATTTTTTTTTCCTTAAAATACCACACTGGGCTACAGCCCACTGTAGCCCTTAGTGTGGTTCCGCCCTTTGGCTGAATGAACTTGAGCAACACTCTCTGTATTTATATAAACCTAGCGGCTAGCTGTAGAAAACTACAGATACATGGGGGTAAGGTAATCTGTAAAGCGTCACTGACTGAGCTAATATTGAAAATAAGTTAAATATATAAGTTTTATATATTTTTTTTTTCTTAAAATACCACACTGGGCTACAGCCCACTGTAGCCCTTAGTGTGGTTCCGCCCTTTGGCTGAATGAACTTGAGCAACACTCTCTGTATTTATATAAACCTAGCGGCTAGCTGTAGAAAACTACAGATACATGGGGGTATTAGGTTAGCTGGCTTCATTTGCAGCTGGCAACCAAGCTTTCCCTAGAAAGCAATAAAAAATCAACCTTCCAAATCCAAACGTAACAAGGCCAGAGCACATGGAGGGTTATATATGTAACTTCCGCGAGAAAGCCGCAAAAAGGTTGTTGCAAGTGACTGCTAGCCTATGTCTAGGCCTCATCATTTGGCCCGCGGGCTCATGGGCCGATGGGGGCCCGCCCGACCCATTGGAAAAAAGCCCGGCCCGGCCTGTTATGGGCTTTGAGATGGCCCGGCCCGCTTTGGGCCGGGCTAGGCTTGGGCTTGGGTGTCTGAAGCCCGGCCC